ATTGAGATTTATACATCACCCGAAAGCTGAGTAAATAGGCTTTCCATTGATGTATGGTTTGTTATGATAGAACAATATTTGGCTGAGATACAACTATTTGAATATCTGGAATCTGAGGGTGCAAAAAAAAAAATCGTCTTTAAAGTTGTCCAAATGAAGTTCTTAGCAATGCATATTACTAATCAAAAATTAAGTTTTGATATATTTGCCGTAGGAAATTTACAAAATATCTTCATGGAACATGATCTTTACTTAATATCCTAATGATTTTTGGCATAAAAGAAAAATCGATTTTTGACCCATACAATGTATTGTTGGCTATTGCTACTAATATACCTGTGCTACTTAAGACTGGTTTTGTGCTCCAGGGTCACATATTACTTTGTATTACATCAAGGTTTGTGCACATAGAATTAAAGACAAATCTGTAAATTGCACTCTGTGTGTGTCACACATGGGACACAAGTTCACAGGCGGCATTAAAGCCAATAAAAACACTTTATAGGGTGCCAGGTCCAGAACTAGTCTTTCAACTAGTTTTAACCATACACACAAGCATAGGATATGACAACAAACCCACTTAGTCTGGAACTTTTTTATAAGGTTACCTTATATGTTTGAAAGCCTTATCAGAAAGTGAGATTGACATTAATGGCACTCGTGAACCACTCTGTGTGATGGCGAGGTCTCTCAGCCTGTCTAGACCATTCTGTCAACATATGTTGCTGATGTTTAGACCATTTCCTTCTCTTACAGAGAAGTGGTTTATTTTGTCTTTTTGACATGGTATGTATTAAATAAGCAGCTCAAAGATTTTGGTCTCAGATTTTGTCTTGTCATTTTTGTTGCATAAACTTTACAATGAGACAGTGAAGGATTTCGGGATTTTTCTTTGCTGAATAAATGTAGCTGAAAAGGACAAAAAGAATTGAAATATTTACTGTTCACTGTTCAACAGTGGGGATTTTTTATAACTGGGTTTAAATTTTAAATTTAAAAATAAAAAATACAGTAAAAACACTTAATATTGTGAAATGTTATTACAATTTAAAATAGCTGTTTTCTGTTTTAATATATTTTAACGTGTAATTTATTTCTGTGATGGCAAAGCTGAATTGTCAGCAGCCATTATTCCAGTATCACATGATCCTTCAGAAATCAATCTAATATGCTGATATGGTGCTCAAGAAACATTTCCTACTATTAGCAATCATGAAAACAGTTGTGCTGCTTAATATTTTGATAAATGTAATGTGTCTTTGCTGAATAAAAGTATTAATTTCTTTTAAAAAAAAACTTGCTATCCCCAACTTTTGGAAAAGTAGTGTAAATATTTCTTACACAACTGAAGTTGTGTTGTTTATCTTCTAGACAGGAGAGCAATATCCTTCAACAGTCATCATGTGTCCAAACCAGAGTCCTCTTCAGACCTGACCTGCGTAAGTCAACATGCCTCACATTTATAACTCAAGCAATGCTTTAACCCCTTGAAGTCAAGAAAAATTACACTTTTCTTCAACTGAACTATTCTGTAAACATTTTAAGTAGTTTAAATACCTGGAAACAATCAGCAAAATCCATTCATTTTAGACATTTTTTATTTTTAATCTAAAAAAAAAAACATCTAAATGAATGCATCAAATGATTGTATATAACTAAAACGTCTTATAAAAAAGCACTTTTGAAGTCTTTTGGCATTCACAATGAATAATAATCATACATGTTCAACAAATAGGCATTTCATACTTTTTGTCCCTTTTCTGGTTTCCTCTAGAGGGACAACATGGAGGGCCAGTACGGGGAACCTAACAAAGATGTCATTCAGAAAATTTCCAGAAGGTTACGACAGGCCCTTGGCATTTCTCTGTTTGGGATTGACATCATCATCAACAACCAGACCGGCCAGCACGCCGTCATCGACATCAACGCTTTCCCAGGTACATGCAGGTCCTCACAGTCCAACGACTGAATCCAGTCCAACAATGACTGGGTGTTATCTTTATGCACTGACCTCTATTCCCACTTTCAAAACCATAATGCAATAATGCAAACAGACCACATGGTGTCAGTGCAGAATAATAAAGAGGCCTTTTAGTGCTTTATAATGCTAAAATAGGTCATATTTCTTTAATAAGGAGTTTACCTCTGTTTAAACAGCTTCCTACAACTTTTGAATTTATCCAGTGGAATGTTTTTTATAAAAACATCTACTATTTGCTTTTAAGATGTTGGAGGGAATCTGCTTCTCTCTTCTCTCCAAAACATGACACAATATTTTTCACATTTGACGGTCTCTATCATTCACTTTGGGTTTTCACCCACTATTCTTGCCATGCTTTTTGTGTATATATATATATATATATATATATATATATATCTGTTTAGTAACTGATTCAGGTTTAAGAATTGTTTCAACATTACATCAACTGCTGATGCATCAACACTTTGTTTTATTTGAATTATCACTCAGTATGTTACTTAACCGTGTAGCCTATTACTATGTCTTTGGAAGGCTTTTAAAACATTAAAATGCACAAATTCACATTATTTCTTATTTATGTGTAATGCAGGGATTCCCAAACTTTTGTGTGATCTGAACCTCTTTCACTTATATACATGAAGCCCCCCTGAGATTTTAAAATACATATTTAAAAAATGAAGTATCACATTTGTATGTTCACAGTTCTCTGACAATGGTTTATGGTCACATGACATGCAGGTAAACATAAAATATTTCATCTTTTTAGTAAGTGTTTTATTTTGATTGTTATTTTAAAATGATTTATTATAATTTTACATTTTTATGATTTAATTATTAGCTTTTCATTAAACTCACAAATCCCCGTGCAGTTCCTTTACAAACCCCAGTTTGGGAAACCTTCATGTAATATAATGTTTCATGTTAAAGACATGTTGTTAATTACAACAAATGCAATATATTTTCTTACTCTTTGTATTTTTGTATGAATATGGTACAAGATTATCCTATTTACATCAATGTGGTAAACGAGTTAGGTCAAAAGTAATCTAAAAGTTATCAAAAAGTAGTCTGATTATATTACCTAAAATGTGTAATGTAAAGGATTATGTTACTAACTACAATTTTCATCATGTAATTTGGAATCAGTAACATTACAATTGGTAAGTAATCTACTCTCTATATACACTACCAGTCAAATGTTTTTGAACAGTAAGATTTTTAATGTTTTTTTAAAGAATTCTCTTCTGCTCACCCATGCAGCCTGCATTTATTTGATCCAAAATACAGCAAAAGCAGTAATATTGTGAAATATATTATTTCTGAAGGATCATGTGACATGTAATGATGCTAAAAATTCAGCTTTGAAATCACAGGAATAAATTACATTTTAAAATATATTCAAATAGAGAACAGTTATTTTACTGTTTTTGCTGTACATTGGATCAAATAAATGCAGACTTGGCGAGCAGAAGAGACTTCTTTAAAAAACATTAAAAATCTAACTGTTCAAAAACTTTTGACTGGTAGTGTATATATTATTGTGGAAGGATGGGGAAAAGTACATTCAAAGCTCTTGATTTAAAGACTCTAGTAGTATCTGCAGGCACAGCTGTGTTTGTCAGCTTGCAGTATGTTTAAAAGCCACCTGGCCTTCTCTCTGCTTGTTGCCATGGTGATCTTGTGTCTCTAGCAGGGAACGGCACTTTCATATCTCTCAGTGGTACATCCAACGAGTCCCATGATACCGCAGGAGTAAGACAACAGATGATATCTGCCTTTTATTAATCTGCCTGCTTAGAGCGCTTACAATGCTTTCAGCACCGTCACAAGAAACCCATTGACTACCGTTATCTAAAACCCCCTTCATTTTTTACCCAGGTTACGAGGGAGTCCCCAAGTTTTTCGATGACCTGTTGAGTCACATCACCAGCGTCCTGCAAGGTCAGGTGTCTAATGGAGCGGCGTGTGGTCATCTGAGATTGAACGGGATCGCTCAGAGCCCATCTGTGGCCTGCGGGATGCACTGTGGCATGCTGGGAAATGAAAGCAGTTGGTTTATGGACAGCGAGGGGATAAAGAAGGGTCCCCATCAGGGACTGAGTTGCGGTGGTGCTTGCATGGCTCCAAACTTTCACCAGCATGGCAGGTCGAGTTTAGCAGCGGAGACATCCTCGCAGTGACGCCGCGAGCCAACGCAATAGAATATTTCTTTACTGTTCACAAACCAAATGAACCCTCACCAAAGGGTAGGTGTATAGAAAATTCCTTTGTGCCAAATGTGAATTGTGTAGGAAATGATTGAATGTGTCTTCTCATTTATTTAATTTCATGTTTGGAATATGATTCGATTTTTTTTATGAATGTTGCACTGAACTTGATTTGCAGAAATAGGGCTTTGTGGAGAAACTACAAATTGTATTGATGTTAATATATTAATGAAATACTTGAAAGGACAATTGGTGTCATGATTTGGGTGTAAGACATTGCACTATTTAAATAAGTGTCCAGCTGGCACTAAGGCTTCTCTTCTTGCATGTATCACAAATTCTGGCCAAATAAGAGAGTTTGAAGCTCTTTAGTGCTGTCTGAAGCAATCTGCTGGTAATTCATCTTAAAAAGTAAGATTTTTTTAAGGCTGAATCATTTCATATCTGAAGGGCCTGTAAAAACCTCCCACACTAGCTATGAGATTGTATAGGGGTTATGCATTGATTGCAAATAGAAAATGAACAAACTTCACCAAAAAAAAAGTTAACCCAAAAAATTAATTCAGTCATCATGACTTTCTTTCTTCGTTAGAACACAAAAGAAGATAATCCAACTGATTTTGTTGACACAATGAAAGTCACGGGTTAAAACCTCACTGAACCTTTCACTGAGCACTTTCATTGTATTGACAAAAAAACACATTTATCATTTTTTTTCCTTCACAGAAAAACTAAATTCATACAGGTTTGGAATGACATGAGGGTGAGTAAATGATGACAGAATTTGCATCTTTGGGTGAACTTTCCCTGAAATATGATTGTCAAAATAGCAAATGTAATACATTTGTCAATGTAAGTTTGTTAGTCTGTTTTATCTCCATCACGTTATACTTGTACATGATGTATAGTTTTTAAATATGGTAATTTTTTCTTTCGAGACAGAAAAAAGCCTCTAAAATAACAAAAGAATGAAAAGGACAATAAAATCAAACTTTAGCACTGAGAATTCTTTGACATTGTTTGTCTGCTGTATTGACATCAGTTTTGGGTCGCTTTGAGGTTTAGTTCAGACTCACACTTTGTGGAATCAGTTTGAAACACTTCTTTTTGATCTTTATTTGTTTTCTTGAAACCCAAAAAGCATTTAATTAGTCATCACCATATCTAATAAAAACATTATTGCCTATGGATCATAAGACTCCATAATATCAGGTACAATCAATCAGATATATATCCTTACGTATATTAAAATTTCAACCCAGTGTGATAATTCTGGGTAGCAAATATTTTACATTAAATGTACTCAATGCCCAAATTTCTTCAGGAAGCAAGCACAATAAAGCAAAGCGGAGGAGCTGGGAGAAAAAAGTGAAGGGACCTCTGAATGTCTGACACCAGAGAAGTCGCTTTGAGGTTTCATTTTACACATGGAGGGAATAAGCAGAGAATCTGCGGCGCTGAGATAAGAGCTTGCACTGCTATGGACTGAGCAAGAAGGTGAGAGCCTCATCTCCAGTTAACATGCCTTTCTACTGAAGGAGAGATGACGGGCAAAAGTGGAAAGAGAAGAAGAGCTGGAGCAGCTCAGCCTCGTCTCAGATCATGGAGCTTCTGAGCCACACTCTCCAGTTCAGACTCAATGGCAGCCAGACTTTCGATCTCAGCATCCTGATAACAGAAGAGAGAAAATCAGGCCATTAGTTCATTTTAAATGAACATTTACATGTACACTACCATTTAAAAGTTTGGGGTCAGTATTTTTTTAATAAGTCTCTTATGCACACCAAGACAGTATTTATCTATTTGCATTTATAATTTTTTGAAATTAATCATTTAGGATAACTATTCTATTCTAATTGTTCTGTTCTATTTTAATATATTTTAAAGTGTCATTTATTCCTATAACGTTAAAGCTGAATTTTCAGCAGTCATTACTCCAGTCTTTAGTGTCACGTGACCTTTCCGAAATCATTCCAGTATACTGATTATGTCATTTTCATATACATATTTTTTAATTTATTCAGAAAAAAAACTATAAAATATCAATACAAAACTATAGTATGACTCCAGATGATTTGGAATTAGTCACATGGATTATTTTAATGTTGTTTTTGTCATTTTTGAAGCTTGACCAACATGGTCACTATGAACCATGGATTCACTGAAAGAGCCATGTAAAGAAAAAAAAACATTCTACTTTTGTGTTCCTCAGAAGAAAAATACTGCTTGTGTTTTAAGCGTTAAGAAAACGTGTAAGAGTCCTACCCCTGTCTTTCTGCTGCCGCTGCCCTCTTCATCTCGTTTGTCCTGTGGTTGAGTTTGTGCCATGAGCTGCAGCTCCTGCTCCTCAGGGCTCCTCCACAGCTCCCCCTCTTGACCTTCTCTCTCCTTATCCCAGTGCTCATCCAACTTTGGGCTTGCCTCTACTCTCTTGTGGGACAATTTGCTCACACGACTCCAGCGCTTCACTCCAACTTCTCTTTTCTTCTCCTCCTCTTCTTCCAGCTCTTCTTTTGAATGTGTTCTCTCTGTTTCAGCTCCCTTGAGCTCCTCGCTGTCCTCCATGATGGATTGTTTTATGTCAGGATTTGCTTCATGATCATCTGTGGCTGTTTCCCCTTCAGATAAAAAGGGAACAAAGTTATAATTATTATATTATCTCAGTCTCTTCTCTCTATTCTACACACACACATACACACACACATTTACTTTAGTGCAGCATCAGCAAACCCAGCACTCTTCTAAATGAAATGCTCTCCCTTGCCAGCTCACAGCTCACTGCTTGATGCCTCTTATCCTGAAATATAAGCCCCCGTCCTGTTCTTCTATCTACTCATGAATACAGATTCCCAAATCATTGTTTCTATCAACAGACACACTAAAGCAAAGTCACCTGAAATGTCTGCCATTTTTCACCAAGTTCCTCTGAGATCTAAGGGGACACTTTTAACAAGCTACAGGCAGCTTGCTGATCTGGATGGCCTCCAACATCAATTATTGAATCGATTCAGCGGGCCACAGCACAGCGTGGATTTCATTTCATAGATGGAGGCACTGTCACACCGGCCTGTTCATGGAGCACTGCTAAATTCCCCCATCAATCTTCATTCCCCATCCCTCCCTCCTGTCCCGTTTTAACCTCGTTGTGTCTTAGACACAATCTCCTGCTGTTATTCCTAACCTCTTCAATGAAATAAACAAGTGCCTGTTATATGAATTCTCCCTGGACATCCCTGTTACTCACAGTCACACTTTCAAAGAGTAGTGATTACGTTGCTATTCATCGAATGTAGGAGGGGTGACAATTTGTTAGTAGGAGCACTATGGCTATTTGTTCATCTGCTGGGCTTAAAGCTGTACACATCTGATCATGGATGGATTATGATACTTTGAGGCCATTCATGTTACAAATGTATAATGTAATGGCCAAATAACAATTGTAAATGTGCTAAATAATACCTCAGTTTTGAGATGAAAAGCCACAAAGAGGAGAAAAACACATTATAATTAAAATCAAAAGAAATGACAATGTTGCGTGACTAGAGCTAAGTAAAAATATTGATGTTCTGTTGTTATAACTCATAGTCACTAATTAGAATTTACAATGTTTTGTCAAAACAAAACATTACATAGCTATTTTTTTTATTAATATTTAACTAATGCATCAAGAAATCACATTTTACCTGAGTTATGTAACTCGTATCAAATGAATGGCACCAGTGTCCATTTCACGATTGTTATGAGTCTGTTATTTTTAGTGGATCTAAAACCTACATTGGTTACCAGTGCTATCTGATTCACGAACAACTGACCCTTATGAGCCGGTTCTGTTTAATGAATCAAAATGCAGTGCAACCAGTATAGTCCAATTCACAAACAAATGACTCTTTTGAGCTGGTTCTTTGTAGTGAATCAAAAACATACAGCACGATCTGTGTAGCCTGAATCCTGAAATGAATGACTCTTATAAATCAGTTCTTTTAATAAATATTTAAAAAAAAAACAGTTATCAATTTGAAACACTGCCTTGGTGTTATTTACAGCAATAGCAGAGAGAGATTTTTTTATATTTAAAGGGTTAGTTCACCCAAAAATACAACTGAAATGTTCCCAAGTCCAGAGACGTAGCAAGGAGACCGGTAAAATAATCCATGTGACATCAGTGGTTCATCCGCAATTATACGAAGCTACGAGAATACTTTTTGTGCACAAAAGAAAAAAAATAACAACTTTATTCAACAATTCGTCTCCTCCGGAGAATATTGAATATACGAATTGTTGAATAAAGTCGTTATTTTTTTTCTTTTGTGCACAAAAAGTATTCTCGTAGCTTCGTATAATTGCGGATGAACCACTGATGTCACATGGATTATTTTACAGATCTCCTTGCTACGTTTCTGGACTTGGGAACATTTCAGTTGTATTGCTGTCTATGCAGGGTCAGACAGCTCTCAGATTCCATCAAAAATATCTTAATTTGTGTTCCGAAGATGATTTTGTGTTCCTATTTTTGGGTGAACTAACCCTTTAAGCAAAGTGGACATTATAGCTGAAATACACCCAAATGAATCAGAACTAAATCAAACTGGAATGAAATCAGAACTGAATTGAAATCTAACTGAATCGAGAGTTTCAGGATCGTAATAAATCAAGAAATCTAGTAGTGTAGAACATCTGCTGGCACTATGGAGGAGCCTGGAACAAGTGACATATTTCATTTGTCTGTGTATTTCACATCGTGGCAGTAGTTTCTGGCACACATTCAAGCACTATTCATCTATCATTTGGACATCTGCAGTGGCTTGTTTCCAGGTATTGAGCCACAAGCTTCTCAGCAGGAGGTCCCTGAATTTGAGAGGTCCCAGGGCACTGGACCCAACGGGCCGGTAATGCATCCTTACACCTCATCTACAGTCAGAATATTGCTTGTTATATCATATCACACTGAATATAGCTTTCAACTCAAAGATCAACTCAGAAAGTAGCACATATGGCATCCCACACATCGCATTCATCATTACCATCTTTATGGTGAGCCGGATCATTTTCCTTCTCCTTTTCCAAGCTGGAGTGTTTCTTCTCCTCTTGTTTATCCTCTTCCCTTTTTGTGGCCTCCTCCTGTGATTCTCTCTTCTGCTCTGGGTTTATGGAGTTGGAAATGTGATTGCTAGGACTCTCATGTTCTTCAAGCTCCTCTTCCTCAGCAATCTGGTTGCGTTTTTTAGACTCTTGCTCGGTCTCCTCACTCTCCCTGGAACTCTCCTCTCCTGCTCCTCTCTTCTCTGCATCTTCTTCTGGTTTATCCAAGGCAACCAACATTGACTGATCATCTGTAGAATGGTAAAGGGTTACACTGAGGTTAGGTGCTCATTTTTGTATTATTTAAATGAATAAAGAAATTGTAATTATATAGTGTTATTCTTTTGTTCAGATGTTTTCATGTTCATTCATATATGATACTAAATTAACATATTCATATATCAAAATAAATTAATGTTTTGTGTGATATTCTTTTATGCAGACTGGGTTTCTTTAGGTCAGAGCCTTAGGGTTTGATTTATATACTGTATGATAGACAGACTTTATTGAGATCTGTTTTTGTTTCTTTCAGGTCTTCAGGTTCTAAGTCTTTAGATTTGATTCTCGTCTGTGATGAATTCTGCTACAGTGGCTTTTAATGAAAGTGCAAGGCTGTGGAACAGACTGTTGTACATGGTTTTTCTTTGGATCAATCTGTCTGACCTCAGCAGTGCAGTACTTGCAAAAGAACATACAGTATAGATGGTGTGTTCAAAACACGTTAACCTCAGGAAAAAGTTAAGCAGACTGACCATAAGTAGACTGACACGGCTCAATATGTGTAATAGCAATGCAAGCGATCATACAAAGAGATGACACCATTTTCAAGGTCAGCACTTTTGAATGAGGTCAAATGAAATGCACAGCAAAGTACACTGACAACCAACTCGCAAATTAAGGGGACGTTTAAAACACAATCAGTTTTACTTGACTCTCACACTGTAAGTACAGAATTATATTTAGTGCCCACAGACTTGAGATATGACATATCCAAGACAAAAGTCCAAGTTGGTGGACATAAGAAATTTTACAAGCTCAATATTATACCACTGGTAGTGTGCATTTGCACCAACAAGAAACGATGCAGACTAGAAGAGACAGATGCCCTCTGCCCTGATTCTGTCAGAATGCTGCTAAGTGCAGCACTATAGAGCAGAACACAGTGGTTCACACTAAAATGTGCTTGGAGAGCACTGAATGACTGTCTTCTATCCTTTGAAGAGTGACAAGCAATGCTAAATCAAAGCAGCATTTGTTTTTGTTTTTTTCCCTGGAATTTATTCTAAGATTAGAACAATCTCTCATCTTTCTTTTATATGCAAAGTGTATAAGCATACATATAAAAATATGTAATATAATAATGTAATAAAACAACCCATACACAAATTAAATATATCTTAAACATATATTAAACTGCGATATATTGTCATAGTATGTAAAAACACAAATGAAACCTATTAGAAATTGAAACAATATATTAACATCTATATCTAGCCCACACAAAAAAGTATGAACATTTTTGGACATATATGTCACGTACATGTATATCCATCCTAAAACTTACTGCTGCCAAAAAAGCCATTAGCACCCAACTGTCATTCTGCTGCTATTAGCATTTCTCCATAGGAAACAGAGTTAGTTCATGCTGTCCCAATCAAATCTGGAGCATCTGCCTCTTACCCTCTGCAGCGATATCTTGCATCTCTCGGAGAAAGTTGCGGTGGCGCAGGATGCTCACAAGCCTGTCATCTGGAAAATACAAGGTACACCACACACATAGCTCCAAACTCCAAACACTATTTTTAGCAGTCAGCACTTTATTTTTTACATTATTTGCATTAATTGCCCTGAAATTTACTGCCTTCTCCTGAGCAGCACTATTAATCATCATGCCCGCTGAGAGAGAAGAGAGAAAGTGAAAACAATAAAGAGGGGGAGAGGAGAGATTTGCGTTGAATTAACGTTGAGTCAAGCTTTTCCTTTTCTGCTGACCGACAAAGGAGTGCATGCAGAGTCGATAGTATGTAAAAACACAAATGAAACCTATTAGAAATTGAAACAATATATTAACATCTATATCTAGCCCACACAAAAAAGTATGAACATTTTTGGACATATATGTCACGTACATGTATATCCATCCTAAAACTCATCAATACAGCTTGATATTATATGAGTAAATATAAAAGACACACATGCATTTAAAAAAATATATATTACAAAAAAACTTACTATACAGATTTTTGTATATATGTTGTTTTAATAAAGTTATACACATAAATAAAATATATTGTTGACATATATGGTTACTACAAATTATACCATATTAAAAAATCTTCATATGGATATGTACACAAACAACATTTTCTACAGAAATTTTCTATATGCCCTAACATTCATCTATCCAGAGTATGTAAATATTTGAAAATATGTATGTATATATATATTTATATATATATATATATATATATATATATATATATATATGCTCTACATTTCAAATTACCTACTGCTGCCAAAAAAGCCATTAGCACCCAACTGTCATTCTGCTGCTATTAGCATTTCTCCATAGGAAACAGAGTTAGTTCATGCTGTCCCAATCAAATCTGGAGCATCTGCCTCTTACCCTCTGCAGCGATATCTTGCATCTCTCGGAGAAAGTTGCGGTGGCGCAGGATGCTCACAAGCCTGTCATCTGGAAAATACAAGGTACACCACACACATAGCTCCAAACTCCAAACACTATTTTTAGCAGTCAGCACTTTATTTTTTACATTATTTGCATTAATTGCCCTGAAATTTACTGCCTTCTCCTGAGCAGCACTATTAATCATCATGCCCGCTGAGAGAGAAGAGAGAAAGTGAAAACAATAAAGAGGGGGAGAGGAGAGATTTGCGTTGAATTAACGTTGAGTCAAGCTTTTCCTTTTCTGCTGACCGACAAAGGAGTGCATGCAGAGTCGGCTGCACACTCGATGGCAATGCTATTCACTCTACTCCTTACTTTCTCAGTCTGTCTTATTTCCCTGCCAAGCTTCTTCGCAATCTGTTAAAGTTATAGTACAAAACTGACAGCTGTAGTTGCCAGAATATTGCTTTTACAGTGTCTTTATAAAATTCTGCTTTTCTCAACTTATCGGTCCTCCTCTCTCCTTCTGTCAGTCTCTGTCCTTCACTGTTTCTTTGTCCTAGACTCATTGTGTAAGCCTCTCACAGAGTGTTTAATTTCACTGTTGTAAGTGTTATCTCAGTAACAATACCTGCCTTGCTAATAGAATGATTGATTTTCCTACAATTAAAGTATCAAGGAAAAAAAGACCCTGCAATGTGACTGAACAGTGCACGGCAAAACTTCACACTGTGCTAATGTCATTCATTACTTTGCTCCATTAACTTTCAACTATCCGAAACGTGCAGTCACAGCAGCAATGATAGCACATATTGATCTTATCGGGAAGGTCACTGCTGATGATAGGAAGGAAATGCACCCAAGTGCAGCAAAATATATGGCAATAATAGCAGTCCAGGTGTCACTAATGCAGGCACTCACCAGCGCTGAGGGTTTCAAGGCAGTCCTGGGAGACTGGGATGAGATGAGGCTTGGACAGGGCATCTGCAATTACCTCCACAATACACTTCATCACCTATACAAAGACAGAGAAGATTGGGTTAGGAAATGGTGTGACATTTTTAAGCTATTTTGTAAATTTAGGAATGGTAAGTTATTTTAATGTTTTTGAAAGACGTCTCTTATGTTCACCAAGGCTGCATTTATTTGATCAAAAATACTGTAAAAATAGTAATATTGTGAAATATTACAATTTAAAATATTATTTCTATTTAAATATATTTTAAAATGTCATTTATTCCTGATGGAAAAGCTGAATTTTCAGTAACCATTACTCCAGTCTTCAGCGTAACACGATCCTTTAGAAATCTTTCAAATATGCATTTAATAAATGTAATGCATCATAATGCAGAATGTTTTTAAATAGTGGTGTGTATATATGGACTCCATGCACTCATGAGATCAATATGACAGAGGACACAGATGCAGCATGCCAACAATATCTCAAAACCCCCCATATAGCCATCCTTACTGTCTTACATTTCACTTTCAATCAATGTCATTTCCTCCTCAGTGCTTTCATCCCTCTCACCCTTCTCTGCGATTTGTTTGGCTCCACATTACCCCAAAGTCAAACATTTCTCTGCTGTCAGGGAAAAACAGCCTCCCCCAGTAAGGCCAAAGTGTTGCTGAAATGGCATTATCATTTTACCGAGAAGAACTGCATCTGTTTGCAACTTGACATTGCCGATGCCTTTCGCCTCAAAACTTCAGATTTACACACATTTCAGATGTGTCCTCTATCAAAACATAGCCTCTCTTAAGATGTTTTTCATTGGCAAGGACAGGAAAGAATCATGTGACAATCTCAACTAAGTTAAATGAGCGCAATCCAACTTCAGTTTACGTTTAAATTCAGTTCATCATAGTTTAAACGCACAGTGCAGTCATCTGTAGTTGGTAGCCTCCTCTGAGTAAGCACACATGGCACCAGCTGTCACTAGGCTGAAATCGTGTTGTTGAGTCACTGTCTCACTTATGCTGCTTTCCTCCACACTTCCTGACAGCATGGACTATGGCTGCTGCCATTCTGTGCATCCTTATGTTCCAAAAGGCTGCTCCAAATACACATTAAAATAATACTGAACAGTAGTGAAGCCGAAAACGAATATTTTGTTTGTTAAACAATGATTTATTAACTCATACCTTCACATCCTTATCGTCCATGTGACCTGGAGATACAGGTACGGAGAACACTGGAAAGAGAGAGAGAGTTTTGATAAGCAAAAACAAATGACTCTGTGTGAAAGCTAGGTTTAATCTTTTGGTTAAGTAACGAGGGTACGCGAGTCGTTTAGCAACAGACAACCAATCATAAACTGCTTCAGTGCTTAGCTAATTAAATATTCATGTTCTTTGCACGTCGCAGAAACTTTCACTCGCCGTTTGTAATCTGAGGGAAACCGTTAAAATGTCGAACAACGACGGGAAACGCATTAACGGACGCATTATTATTTGTGTTGCATGTTTTATAGTTAGTATAAAACAACTAGAGTGGATCTACGTCGGGAGATTTACGTAGATACAGTAGACAAGCGGTTATTGCTGTATTTGTCTAATTAATTTTAATGACTTTATAAATATGTAAATAAGAACGTTAACCCTGGGTTTACAATGCGAAATCTCGAAGAGGATTAATTACTAAAAGTCTAAGTATTATCACTGTAAAGCGTGTAAAGATATTACGTTTACAAATGTCAAGTGTGAAAAGCCTTTTGTGCTCCTCACAAGTGTTTTATCCGCTGTCCTTGGTGCTGACAGAGACATGCACAGCTCACATGTACAAAAATGTACAGTCAACACAACAGAATCAATTAATCATCCAAATTACACGAAGTATTCCCACAATAACTTAACACGTTACGTGATTATTTGTACATCTTGCACACTTACCAAAATTCACCAGCACCACGAGAGCAGCGCATCCTCGTGCGATCATTTTCGTAATGCGAAGCGCAGGCGACCGTTCTGTTTAAAAGTGACGAACCGTCGTGCCAGAGGAAAGCGAATGAACGCTAGTACTTTCCTTTCCTCAGAGTGAATCAAAACACTCGCTGATTTAAGGATGCATTATGCGCATATAATAAGGCGCCTGCTCTTATTTGTTTCGCCGGATCACAATGCCTCAATGTCACTATACTCACTACCGCAGCGAAGCCGCCTTTATATAGAAGACTTGATGAAGAGGAAATGACATCAGTATGAAGTACAGCTGCTTAGTTCACCATCTACTAAATGATAAAGAAAAAAGTTAATAATAATTATTATTATATTACTATATGCATATATGGATTTAAACAACTGCTTTAATTTCATACATTTGCTTAATTATTTAAATGTATTTATACTAGTAATAATACACATAATATACATACTACTTAGTATAGGCTATAAGCAGAATTCTATTCGATAATTGGGGTCCCATATTTTGTAGAAGGGTGTGTTGGATCGTCTAAAGAAATGCATTTATTTATTTCCCTAATTTTTCTCATTTTAAAATGTATCACATCATTAAGCCTTATTGGCTGATGGTGGTTTGCTTGATTTTCAATTTATTCATATTCTGCTGACCAAAGGCAAGCAAAGGCATAGGATCACCCTTTCCTAAAGGCATTTCAAAACAAGGCTGTAGCTTATTTTTTTCCCTTACCCCTTAACTGTCGCTCCCATTTTTGAACATAGACGTGAAAGTGCAGGATCCAAACTTAAATTTTTATAATTCATGAACGAAAACATTTTGTAACATGATATTGATGTACCATTTTCATGGTAATGCAATGTTTGATTTTAAAATGGGTTTCAAATGATGAATTTTGAGATTTAAAGTTTTCAATTGATATATAATTTCTGATGATTTCTAAAGTGTGATAGAGAAAAAGGCAACAAAGAAAACTTTTTTTGACAAAGGTCAGAACTCCTGTTATGATGTAGATTTTTGAGGTGCACTCTTGTCAAAAATTAATCTATTACTTTTCCTACATAATTTTTAACAAAAACATTGGTAAAATATCTATTTAGGAGTCTTAGACCTTTCCAACGATATATAGTTTGTCATGATTAGATTAGGATTTAATTGTAATAAAGTGAAGTAAACTTAGGCGTCCCACAGAGGGGACAGGTGACAGTTAAAGGGTTAATTCAAAAGTTATAATCTTGGACATGCCTAAAATATAATATGGGTCAAATCTGCATTGGTAAACTGACATCACTCACATATATCATCCACACAGATGTCTTATTAGTTATGAGGTCCCATAAAGATCCCACGCATTATTCAAATAAAATGGCTTTGAGCACAAGTAGATCATGATTTCCACTAAAATGTCTGTACAGTAAAATATTAAAGTAAAAAAAAACATCAAATTGTAGTCATTTAGTCCCTAATAAAGCAAAATGAATGGCAGGCTGTTTGGCATGAATCTTTGTGTTGAATACCAAACAGAAGTCGGTCAGTAGTGCCTGCTATTCAAAACAAAAAGTAATTCAGTTAGAAAAGGACTGCATTAAACATTGGCATAGGCAGTAAATGATGGACCTCAGGGGAACCATATGTGATTATCCCACCAACTAATTTATTGAGCACAGCAAAGATGCATTAGAAAGAGTGGCAGGGGATGAAAGAGAGTCAATGTGAGCAGGAAGCAGATTATTAGACGTGGGAGAGCGTCATGCAATTACGTACTATACAACATTTACTACAGCTCTTCTACCTGTTGTGTAGGTTTTCAATTCACATGCAAATCTGATCAAATGTTTCTGCTTAATTATTTGTCCACCACTTATTCTTTTATGTTTTAATAGGTTGTTTTGATGGAAATATGCTCTCTTTGTTAATTGCAAAAGGTGATTAACTGTCCTTGTAGCTCATGAAAACAATATATCAGCCACTCATTGTGCATCTCAACAAGCCATTCAGACTTCATTTATCATATTATTCGTAGGTGACACAGAAAGCAAGGCTCTACCCTAGTGGGTTTTGATAATGTGCACATTAGAGGCAGCTGTTTACACATTTTACCCCTGTTTGGGAAAATGATATTGAGTTAAACAGATACATTGCAGAAAAGCAAGAAATTCGAGGCAGCAGACATGTTGACCATTGATTTGTAATGAGAAGATAATGCTATTTCTCTATTCTGGACACACAAAATGGAATGAAAATCGAACAGTCAGTAGGAGTATGAGTACATGCTTGTTATGTATTGCATCCAATTTCCTTCAGAGAGGAAACAATGGTTTCCTGTTTGTATCAGTTTGAAATGGACACAAAAAAACCATACCATTATGGTCACATTTGCTCCTGAGTTTTGCAATAATTTTTTTCCAAGCAATTAAGTTATATTAAAATGTGTAAATTCTAAGTTTTACCCTGTGGAATTATATGTAAAACTGCACAGTGCTGTTTTATTCAGTCATGCATGGAAATCAGATTTATTTTATAATGTACATGGTTGAACAAAATGAGCAATTTGCTTAACTATTTTCCCAGAAATTCCCAGAGGACAAAATACTTATGTGGAACTAAAATGTTCCACTCATCTACTAAAACCCTGTAAGAATGATAATGAAAAGTTCAAATTTTTGAAATAAATGCTTGCTTTTGTGATTAAGTTCAATTATTTTGGATCATGATAATAAATCAGCCATGAAAAGCAGTTGCTCAGAACACAAGTTAAGCAATTACTTTTTTAAATGTAAAAAACTCCATTCAAAAGAACAAATAAATAAATAAATAACCTCATATTCTGAGACATCTTCATTACTGATATTAAACAAGGCAATAGCTTTGTATTAGCTGTCAATACAGGAAAGTAAATAAATATATTATACAGTAGTATATGTGCAACACAAAGCCCTAAAATATTAGTCTTCCTAAACATAACTGTGAATTGGTTAAAGGTAAACTGATAAGGAAACATGTTATTCACAAATAAGCTTTCAATTCACTCTTGTGATCTCAGGAATAGAAAAACAACAACCTAGTGAATTAATGATATATTACATCCTGTGGCAAAATATAAAAACCTGCATGTTGTGTACTTATTTTAAAAAGGCTTTAAAACAGAAAAACAGGCTAACATTAGCAATTCACTGACAGTTCTGAGGTATAAAGTGGGTCAAAACACATACACTTTGAATGATAATAATACTAATGAATATGCAGCACTCCGCTAAGTTTGGACAAATGCAGACAGAATCAAACAGACTGACAAAACATGAACATATTTATTACATTATTTATTACCAATATAATTGCATTGCTATAATTCATTTAAATTACTATTGTTTATTTGTTTGGCTGTTTCCAAGATCCTTTAGGAGCTGCTAATTACAACTATAAAGATGGGTCCTTTGATTGGTAATAGAATTCATTCATTCAAAAATCCATGAAGAACCTTCAGCTGTATAGAAAAAAGCATATCTTAAAATAACTTTCAAAGAAAAAAAAATGGAAGGAAAACAGGTAAGTACCCCTTCTGAAAGCTTTATTTGAGAAGACCAAAAGCACTTCTCATGTTGCAGCATCCAAAGCAATTATCTTGTTATTGTGAGTATTAAGCTCTCAAACAGTTTACTTTTCACCATGCTCTCAAGCAAAACAGCTGTTCTCAGTCAACATTCAATTCTAGGCTTAATGAGTTTACGGTATAACCTCTGGCCATTTTTATTCAAACCATCCGGAATTAGCTTACAGTTACCTTTCATACCTAAATTAATTATAGCAGCATTATGCCGAGCTAAAAGTGGCTTTGCACCTGCTCTTGTGCTATTTCGGTTGGGTATATCAGAAAAGGTCATCACATTAGCATATATTTTTCTATTCTGAGGTTTCAACATTCCCATTTCCATTGCATAAACTCTACAGAGCAATTCAATATGATATTGACTGTAGCCAAGTCTTCATATTATGCCAACTCCAATTTCCTGTTCATTTTTGATAACTTATTTATCTTTTACTCCCTCATTATCAGTTTCATCATAGACCATCCTGCAGTGGCTTAAGTCTCAGAATAGATCCTCAATGGTTCAAAGCAATGATATTAAGTCCAAGCAGAACATCGGGTTGGCAGACATGATGTACCATGATACTCCATATGGATGTGCTACAAGGAGGCCAGATTAACAGCCAACCACAGTGGAAGGAAAGCCAAGATGAGGTGGAGAACAGTTAGTCTGATGCCAGCTGACGGGGGCATCTCAGGAAGTGATGTGCCTGACTTTGCAGCACTGGGTCTGGTGTAAATGTATGGATGACTCTGGGATTTGTCCGTTTGAGCATGAAAGACATTTAAAGCACGTAATAATGGAATTAGCAAGAAAATCCAACACATCATGTAATTATAGTGACATAATGGCATAATTAAATTACACTAATAATAATTTCTTACCACAGGGGGGCAAATGAGCTCAATAGGGTTTGAAAAACTCTCCACCATGAACTTCTCCCCCTCAGGTTGAAACTTGCCACACAAGAAATGAGAGAAAAGATTTGATTTTAAAATGACATACTGTGCCTGTATGACAGTGACATATAATCATAGAGCACTGCACATTTTGTCCATAGAGCACACTGCACAAAATTCTATACTGCTTATCAAAATTATTTTCTTTTCTTCATGTTTCATTTTTTTCTTTACTATTTTATTTAATGATTCAGTTTTATTTTCGATTTTATTTTATATTATTATATATTTTCTTCATTTTATATTTTAAATTGTTTTATTTTATGTTTTCTTCATTTTATATTATTTATATTCTAAACATTTTAAATGATTTTTATATTTTATTTAATGTTTTGATATTTTACATTTCATTTTATTTTATTTTTTTATTGTGGAGCTTTGTGAATTTGTTCAGAGTTAAAGTTGTTACCATGTTGTTCCACAGTCCCTTGGCTAACTCCTCATGTCCTTTCATTGTGAAGTGGAAACAGTCCGGAGTAAAAAAGCTCATATCAATCTTCCCATTCTAATCAGAGAAAAATATAAAAGGCACAAATTATGAACACCACATTCATGTTTTAATGGAAATTTTACCATTTAAACCTTAATGCAAAACTAGCAGCAAAGTGCCATAAATTACAGTAATTAATAAACAGTCAGTGGTCAC